GCAGTGGTTCTCACTGTCCCCTGGGAGACATTTGGCAATATCTAGAGACATTTTTAGTTGCCACATGTGGGCAGATGGGGGTCAGCAGGGCAGATCTAGTGAGCAGAGGACAGATATATTGCTGAACATTCTATAATGCCCTAACAATAGGGTAATTGCATCATCAACTCCCAAAATTTGGTCAAAGTTTCCCGAGCTGATTTGACCTTGGGATCTGGAATACCTGATATGTCACAGGTTGAGCATTTTGCTGAAGTCACTTTGGAAAGGCTACCTAGAATAATGGGATTAGGAAAGGGAAATTGAAAAGCTGGTGGAATTCTATAGATTTTAGAATCTAAGAGCCAGGAGGGACCTGGTAGGCAACTAACTCCTTCATATTGCAGAGAAGGAAACAGGCCCAGAGAGTTGACGGTTGCTGAAAGCAATGCAGATAAGAGTAGGACAAAGGTTAAGAATGTAAGCTGGAATTATACTGAGTTCAAATCCTGGCCCTGTTCCTACTAGCCGTGAGTTGTGCCTGAGTTGACTGATTAATTTGTGGAAAAGAGAAAGGAATAATACCTATGAATATTGAATGAGTTAATACATGTAGAGCACACAGCACAAAAGCTCAATAGATGGTAGGTATTATCAAAATCCAGCCTGGACTTGTGCCCAGCCTGGATTCCAGCCCAGCATCCCTGAGTCTGATGTACTTTCCAGTGTACCTGAATGGACACAAGAAGAGGTGAGGAGCAGCAGAGGCCCAAAACTGGGAATATACAAGGTATATCTAGAATGTGAGGAATCCTGGTTTGACCTGATTGTTTAACAGAGAAACAGTATTGACAAAGCAAGGCGAGGCCCAGTTGTGGAGGCAGTTTGACAGGTAGACAGAGTCAAGAGCTCATCTCTGCCACTGCCTAACTGCATGATCCTGGGTGACTTACTGAACCTCTCCTCCTGGTCCATCTCCTTATCTACAAATGAGAACAGTAATAGCACCTTCCTTAGAAGTTTGAGCATTAAATGCAATAATGTATACAAAACTTGAGGACCAAGAAGTGGTAGCAAATGTCATCATGATTGTTACTGTTACTATTGGGGTCTCCAGGAGAAATGCTAGTGTTGACTTGTCTCAACATTGTTCTATCATTCAGGCACCAGATACTGTTGTGCTACATGTTCAACAGATTTTGCACTTCTCTGATATTAGAGGGGGCGTGAGAGTAAATTTTGTGGAACACACACTATCTTCCACTAGCCATTCCCTAGCACCGTGATTTACCTCTGATAACACACTAAAATCTCACTTGTTCACAACTGTAACCACATTTGTGTGATTGCTAAACTTGTGTCCCCTCCTCTATCCTGTGAGCTGGATCTGTATTGTTCATTATTGTGTCTTCAGCATTTGGTACAGGCCTGGCATATGTCCATCCCACAAACAAAAAGTATTTTAGCTGTGGCCTCTAGCTAATATACTGTTGTGCACGTGTGTGTGCCTGTGCATACAAGACACTTAAGTTACAAATGAATGCTCAGCAACATCTTGTACATGGTATCATGATTAAGAACAAAGATTCTGAAGTCAGACAGACCTGAGTTCAAAATGCAACTCTATCTTAGTGTGTCCCTGAACTGGTTACACAACCTCTCTGTGCCTTAGTTATCCACATATATAAAAGAAGGAATCATAATTCCTACTTCATAGGCTGTTTTCACAACTAAATGAAATAAAACATGTAAAGCACAGGGTCTGCGGTATTATAAGCTTTCCATCAACAGTAATTCCTAATACCATTAAATGCTATTACCAAAGGAAGGAAAATAATTCCTGAAGCTGCTATTAAAACTTGAATATGCATAGATATGTCATGAACTACAAAGCACTATGCCAATACAGAATCTGTACTTTGTCCTCTGTGTGCTGCCTAAAGCTGGCACGCCACAAACAAATGGAAGTAGGTCAATTAAAGAATTGTCACATCCATCTTGTGAAAATGTCATTTTGAGGCTTTACACTGTTACTTTGGGAAACAGATTCCCATGTATAATATTGAAAGGCACCATAAATATATACAATTTTGTTGTTGATTTAAACATTTTAAATAGACTTGAGTTTAAAGAAAAGAAAATGCAAACATTCTTTATGTCTTTTAAATAGTCCGCAGGCTCTGTACTCTTCGGTCCCAAATTCTCAGGAGTCTTAATAGATAAGATATGACTGGCCAGCAGTGAAGCAGTGCATGCTGATAATGAAAATAGTGACTGGCATGTTTTGAGGACCTACTGTGTACCAAGCTTATATGCCAACAACGTGGCTCCTCATTTTGCAGATGGGAAAACTAAAGCTGGAGTAGTAAATGAAATGTTCACAGCTAACAGCTGACAGAGGCAGGAATGATGACTCCAGAGCACAATTTTCTAAGCCCATCCACTTTACTGCCTCTGGGTCAGGTGTTTTACTTGGAATTTCCAAGCCCCCAGTACTGATGAGATGGCTGTCAGTTGAAACTAATGTGAAAATTTTCCTCCCATCTAGTTCTCAACTATGAAGACACCAGTCAGAATCCAGGGGCCTTGACTAATGCTCAGCTGAAGCCCAAAAGATAAGGGCACAGACTAAGACACTGGGTCAGAGGCTGTAATGAGCCATGATTTTCTGTTTCAATGATTTTTTTTAATTTGCAATTTCAATTCTGATTGATCAGGGGTTTTTTTTCTATTTTCTTCAATGGTTCTGTGAAAATTTTAACATTTTGGTTTAGTTCATGGCTGAATTCAGCAAGATTTGAAATGTAACATATTATATACGTGGGCTCTTTATACAGAATTGATTATTGACTATGTGAGTGCATTGAGCGGGCAGGAAAGAAGTAGCCTTGGAGGATGAGTTAACTCAGCAACCTGCAGGCCAGTGTTTGGTTTAGCCATACAGAGTCACCATCCTTGTAGGTAAAAAATGATTGAATGTCAGCAAATGCGTATGTTTCAACTTGAAACTATATATGCAAGGTACCCAGAAGGCAAAGAATCTGTTAACTTATCTGGCTTTGGCTCCAGTGAAGCAACAACTGTTCACTGAATATTTGTGAGTAAGAATCTGAGTATGAAGATAAGTAAAAGCAAAATCCTGTCCTCAAGAAGCTTATGTTTTAGTTGAAGAGATAAAACAAACTCATGAATTGTTAAAATAACAATAGTAATGTGAAAAAATGATAGTTTCGTTGTAAGAGAGTACCTGAGCAAACACTAAATAAATGGCCAGACCGAGAATGATAGGATTTCAGAGAAAAGAATCGATCATTTGGGGTTTACAATATGTAGTAGATGAGGTATATGAATCAAAGAGTATTTGGATCAGTGACAAAGGAATCAGGCCATACACCGAGTGGGAAACATCAAGATACACTCTTTGCATCCAACTGAAAATCAAGGTAGAAGGAAGAATTAGAGACAATTTATGATGGGCCCAAATAACATACTGAGAAGCCATGCCTTTTTCCTGTAAACAGAAATCAGCTGAAGCTATTGAGAGAGATAACAGGAGCCAGGATATCAGTGCAAACAGACAATCCACACAAAATACTTTGCGGGATCAATGTACACTGTGTGGCTAATGGTTACACTGGGAGCCCAGACCTCACCTCTGTGCAATATAGCCATGTAACAAAACCACACTTGTGCCCATTAAGTTTATACAAATTTAGAAATTTTGTGAATTTTAAAAAGATATCGTAGCTATAGTTTACATATAAGGAGACTTAAGGCACAAAGAAGTATCTTGGCTAAGGTCACACAAAAAGTAAATAACCGACTGACCTTAGACCCAAGGCAGTGCAGCAAGAAAGTGCCACTGTTTTTCTTTCTTGAAGACAGGAGGTCGATCTTGCCCAGGTTGGGGTACAGCCCCAATCATAGCTCATTGCAGCTTCCTTGGCTCACGTGATCCTTCTTGCCTTATCCTCCCAAGTAGCTGGGACGACAGGCATGTTTCACGATGTCTGGCTAATTTTTTTTTATAGAGATAGGGTCTCCCTGTGTTACCCAGGCTGGTCTCAAACTCTTGGGTTGAAGGGATCCTCCCGCCTAGGCCTCCCAAAGTGCTAAACACAGGCGTGAGCCACCACACCTGGCCAAAGTCCCACTATTTGACACCATAAGCCAACAAGAGAAATGAAAACCTATGACCAGACAAAAACTTGTACATGAATAATCATAGCAGTATTATTCCTAACAATTAAAAAGTGGAAACAACTAAAATGCTCATCAGCTGATAGATGGATAAACAAATGTGGTATATTCATACAATGGATACTATTACTATTGCTATTCAGCCATAGGAAGAATGAAGAACTGATACATACTACAACGTGAATGAACCTTGAAAATTTTATGCCAAGTGAAAGGAGCCAGTCAGTACCAAATGTCCATGTATTCCATGATTCCATTTCTGTGAAATTTCCATGAGAATCAGAAAGTAGATTGGTGTCTACCTAGGACTAGAGGAATAGGGAATGGAAAGTAACTGCTAATGGGTATGGAGTTTTTGGGGGGGAGGTAAAGAAAATATTCTAAATTTAATTATAGAGATGATTGTGTGATTATGCAATTATACTAAAAACCACTGAACTCTACACTTTAAATACATCTTATGGTATATGAATTGTATCTCACTAAAGCTGTAAAAAAATTTAAGCATCTAAGATGACTCCATGTTTTGTGCAGTGACATCCAGATACCACTGGAAACAGAAACAGAGTTAGATATGTAGATTTGTCAGTTCTACGAATGGGACAGGTCCCATGCCAGTCCTTCCATGAGAATGAAAATCCAGAAACCAATGACAGATTTTTCTGCTGCCAGAGAGCTGACAGTTCTCTATTAGCCATTTAGATTCTGCAGGCACCAGCCCTACTTAGAAGACTGTCAGTTAGCTTCCTGGCCAGTCCAAACATGTTAGAGTCAGTTGATAAGGATTGTTACATTTGTCTTGTTTTGCTTTTGTTCTGCAGTTTTTGAAGAGCCTGAAGATCCAAGCAACAGATCATTTTTCTCTGAAATTATATCGTCGATTTCGGATGTGAAGTTCAGCCACAGTGGAAGGTATATCATGACCAGGGACTATCTGACCGTTAAAGTCTGGGATCTCAACATGGAAAACCGCCCCATCGAGACTTACCAGGTACAGAACCCCAGGCACCCATAGGTATATTGAATACTCCCTATGTGAGCTTTTAAGTCAGCCCCTGTTTATAATCCAGCAAAATGAAAGGCAATGCATGCTGATACATTCAGTAAAATGGCAGGGCCTGTAAGTGCCACAGGATTTAAGATAAAGGTGCATGTGGAGAGGCTAGTATTCAATTTAATTGATATGGACTGAGCACTTCATGTGGAATGGATATTATAGAGGTAAACAAACGGTTCTGCTCTCATGAAGCTTACCATCTGGTAGAAAAGTCAGATGATGAACAAGGAATTGAGTGTGCATCTCTGCAAGAGATGGTCCAGCCAGGTGAGGAAGGTTTTCCCAAAAAAGTGACTGTTACGCTGAGTCTTAACTGCCCTGAAACAGGAAATGCATGCTCTTAAAGTAGTGTGTTCAGAGGCCTGGAGTCAAGAGAAACGAGGTGTATTCAGGATGCTTACACCTTGAATATGAATCACAAAGGCAGAAAGATGAGCCTGGACATAGAGGCAAGGGGCTGATCACTAGGCCTTGGAAATGCAGAGTAGGCTATTTGCCATTGTGGACTGGGTACAATAGAGAGCCATTAAAGTTTTACACCAGGAAATGACATTGTGAGTTTTCGTTTTTACTGTGTGTTTCACTTTGCAGTTTGCCAAACGGACAATTTAGATAAGAGGAGATGATGGCAATTTGGTCTGGTAATGGTAGTGTCCAGATGGAAGGATGGGTAGGATGAAGAGTCAGTGAGGTTTGCTTGGTACTGAGTAAATATGTGCAGGGAGAGGAATCAAGAGGACTGTGTGGAAGTTTTGGACTTAAGTGTTGGGTAGATGGTGTAAATGCAAGGGAACCAAGGAGAAGGAATTGTTTAGGATGGTTTTGTTGAAAGAGGAAGACCAGACTTTGAAGTAGAGAAGATTTAAAGAAGCAAAATTCAGGCAAGAATATAATGAAAGAAGAGAAAAATGAAAGCAAAGATCAATTGGTGGGGATAAACTAACCCTATTTTAAGCAATTTGGGGTTAGATAAAAATAAGTGGGGGAATTCTAGACAGAAGGATTTGATTTACATTTTTTCCTTGAGATATAATTTACATATCACAATAATCAGCCTTTCAAAGTGCACAATTCAATGATCTTAGTTTACTCACAAACCACCACTATCTAATTCCAGATCATTTTCATCACTTACTTTTTTTTTTTTTATTGAGACGGAGTTTGGCTCTTGTTACCCAGGCTGGAGTGCAATGGCGCGATCTCAGCTCACCGCAACCTCCGCCTCCTGGGTTCAGGCAATTCTCCTGACTCAGCCTCCCAAGTAGCTGGGATTCCAGGCACGCGCCACCATGCCCAGCTACTTTTTGCATTTTTTTTAGTAGAGACGGGGTTTCACCATGTTGACCAGGATGGTCTTGATCTCTTGACCTTGTGATCCACCTGCCTCGGCCTCCCAAAGTGCTGGGATTACAGGCTTGAGCCACCACGCCCGGCCATCACTGACATTTTTAAATGAACATTCTGGTTGTGCTGGGGAGGACATGTGTGTGGGAGGGACGTTGGAATGAAGGTAGCCAGATTTGATATATTTCCAAAGTAAAAGGTAATCCAAGGATTACTCCAAAATTTTTGTCCTGAGCAATTAGAAAAGTAGAGTTGCCAGTTTATTTAGATGAGAAAATCGAGAGTTTGGTTTTGGCTCTGTTAAGCCAATTAAACATCCAAACAGACACAGCAAGTAGACAGCTGAATGTGAGTCTGGATATATTTAGCTTCAAGATATAAATCTGACACTCACAAGTAGATAGAGGGTATTTAAAGCCACAGGACTGGATGAGATCTTCTAGGCAATTAGTATAATTAAAGAAGAGGTTATAAAATATGACCTAGTTGAGAATAGGAAGAGGACTTGGCAAGACAGATTTGGGGAAACTAGCCAGTGAGATGAGAGGAGTGACTAGGAAGCCAAGTGGAGAAAATGTCTTAAGGAAAAAGAAGTCACTGACTGCCAAATGCTTTGGTGAATCAAGTACAGAAGACTAAGACTTGGATTTAGTAAGTGGAGGTTATCCATAGCCTGAATGACAGAGGAATAGTTGTAGAATGGTGTGAATAAATGCCTGATTGGGGTGAGTTCAAGAAGCGGAAGAAGTGAGTTCAAGAAACGGGAACATAATGAGGACAGACAACTGTTTCAACAAGTTTACTCTGACAAAGAACAGAGAAATGGAAGGGTAGCTGAAATGGGATTCTTGCTGAAGGAAGTTATTACAGTATGTTTTCTGCTGATAGGAATAAGCCACTAGAGAGAGAGACCATTAGAGAGAGACCACTGAAAGAGCAAAGCCCTTGAGGGAAGCCAGAGGGGATGGAGTCCATTGCAGAATTGGCCATAGATGGTAAGATGCACGGATAATTCATCTGTCAAAGGAAGGAGAGCAGTGTTCATATATAGATGAAGCAGGTTTGTGAATTTTGTGATGGGAGCATGTAGGTGTGTCATTTAGCAAAATAAATAGTAAGGTCATTAGCTGAATGGGAAGGAAGAAAAGGGGTAAAGTTTTCATCTAAGAAAGAGAAATGTTGTAGAGTGGTAGGTTTGCTCAGGGATCCACTCCAAATGTATATAATATATTTAAAGGGAGATTAATTTGTATGATTACGTTTCTTCCCAACCACATTCGCCAGCTTGGTACAGGTAAAGAAAGGGTAGAAAGTTAGATTTCATCAGTGATGGAGTTTTCCCAAATGAGTACAATGGAAAGAGAAAGCAAGAAAGGCAACCTTGTTGAATATATATGCTAAGGGAGTGACTGTAATGATGCACTGCTGGATCGAAGCTGGGGGAAAGGGGAAATAATGAATTTAAAGAATTGGTAGAATCAGTATCCTAGAAGGAATGAACTAAAAAGACAGGAGGTAACAACAGCAGCAGAGTGAGACTCATTCCACAGGTACAGAGATAGATAGCAATGACCAGGTTCATCATATGACCAAGAAAGCAAAGGACAAAATCCATTGAATATGATGAGATCAAGTAACTGGGAGACTAGAGTGCTTGAATAAAAATAGTGGCAGGAATAGAGACGGAAGAGACAGAGGTGCGAACTTGCTTCAAGGAATGAGCATTAGGGACTCAGAACTTTTGATGGCTGAAAGACAGGGAGCAGGAAGTTTAGTTTGATGGCATGATTTCAAAGGAGTTGAGGATTTTAAATAGGAATAGTTGTCCAGAGCAGCAAGGAGCCCACCTACCCAACATTGGCAGGTGGAGTGACAGCAAAACTCTAGCTACCACTTGAGTGTTTGCAGAGGAGATCCAAAGTCCAGTCAGTGGAAGAAGAAGGTTCAGAGATGAGGTTGAGGATACTGGAGACTTTGACGACTCTCTGTAGCAGGTGCTGGAGAAAGGTTTGGGAGCCAGAATTCACAGCTATATATGTAGTGGAGATAGCTTTGTTTCCCCTATGGTCCAGTACACTCCCTGTTATTTAGAGTGTTACTGTCTCCTAAATCCTACCTCAACTTCAGGGCATGGCTCCACATCACTTGCCCCAAGATTTCATTTACAGCCCTTCATCTTTAGCCCAGGACTAGAGTCACCGCCAGTGTCCTCTTCCAGCTCCATAACACAAACTGTATAGTGTTCAAATCCTTAACGCAAAAGAAAGGACAGTGGGAACTAGGACCTGGGTGTGGCTACTGGGGAGCCTTGATTAGGAAGAGCAGATTTAGGACAAACTAATTTTATAATACAGTTAGCTAGCTTTCACATGAAGTAGTTTAAAGATGGTCAATACTCTCTGATTCAGTGAGCCTCCAGAACACCATGATAGGTTGTGAGGTCCAGTGGGGAAGAATTTAGTGATCAGTTAATACAGGCAATGCTACTATTTCATGTTTTCATACATGCATTCACAGATCTCAATCATGTTTACATGAATAAAAGGCTGCAGACTTAAGTATGATTAGCTATTTTCAAGTTTTCCTATAGAACAGAGGTTGGCAGACTGCAGCTTGTGTTCCAAACCAGCCCCCTATTTGTCTTTGTAGGTAAGTTTTATTGTCACAGCCATATACAATCACTTACTTATCTTGCATGGCTGCTTCTGTGCTGCAATGGCAGAGTTGAGTAGTTGTCGTAGAGACTATATGTCCCACAGAGCTTAAAATATTTACTATCCGGCCCTTTGGAGAAAAAAATTAGTCAACACGAACTGTAAGAACAGACCAATAGAGTTGGCTCTTGGTTGGCCTCATAGCAGTCCACTAACTACAGGACACTGGAATCCTACAAGTAAATATGAGAACGACTCAGTCTGGTGTCAAAAAGCCCATGCACAAGCTAATAGTATCATAGAAAAGTCATATTAGGAAGATGAAAAAAGAACATCAAATAGGATGAGTTTTAAGTTCTCTCTTGCTCCACGCTCTAGATGTTGCTCATGTATGCATCTTACCTTATTTGCTCCTCTGGTAGAGAAAGGTCCCTCTAATTTGCCTAAGAAGACTTTTTTCTATGCAACAAAAGATAATAGAGCATACCTTCATCATAGATGTTCTTTTTCTTTAAATGCTGTCAATTGGAGGCAGGCAGGAGCTACCCAGACCTTACATGCAGATGAGGAGAAATAACTCTTCAGACTAGGTTTTCCCTTGAGTCCGTCCCAACTTCTATCTTTCAAGAATTATTTACAGAGTTCTCAGCAATGTCATTCCTGCTAATAGGCACACACTTCCAAAGTGCACATGTGTTGATGCTTGATAGTCACCTGCAGTGTTTCTATAAGACAAAATCCCAAAGGTGAATGATGGCAGATGAGGAAAGGTTCATCACAAAGAAGACATATGGAACTAGACCTTAAAAAGCTCCCCACTGTCCGGTTTATAAACCTTCACTGCTGTGCCCCCTAGGGAAGGTCAGGGAGTTAGTTTATAGCAAAGATGCCTCTGTAAGAGCAGAATACAACCTTACAGTCCCCAAATGCATCTGACAATGTCAACAGCACTGCTGTAGGGGAATTCCCTTGTCACCAAAGCACTGAAGCTGTTACCCTGACAAGGCCTGGAACTGTCTGGAAGTGAGAGAGTAAAGGTGGGGGGAAATGAATTTGCAGAGTGAGAAATAACTTCCACTGTCCAAATAACTCAGAGCTTTTCAAATACCCAAAACATCTAATAGAACATAGGATGAGCCTGACCTCATTCCTTTGCCCTAGACGTAAGCACACAACTAGGTCTCAAACTCAGAATCCAACAAAACTGTTGAGATCAAAGGAAGAGAAGGAGCCACAGCTGCAGGAAAAGGAAATTGAATCATCACTCTTAACTTAAAGTTAAATACAAATACCCTTGGTAGTCTCCCTCTGCTTTTACTCAGTTCCATCTGGTCTCTCAGCCTCACTGGAGTTCATTATCACAGCTCCTGTCAAGGGCTAGGACCCACCAGAGCAAGCTGGAGCCAGGTTGCTAGTGCAGCTCAGACTGTGTGCTACAGAGCCTGATACCAGGGCTCAGTTCCTTCCCCTTCTGTCATTTTCTTTTCTGTATGATCTTCACAATGATATCATATCTCTGTACTTCATGCTCCATTAAAGTAAAGAGAATGAAAGCACCTACATCATAAGATGGCTTTAGAGATGAAATGAGGTTTTGACAGATAAAGCACCTGGCCAGTAATCACAAGCCAGCGTATTGGGTATGCCTGTTATTATTGCCACTCTGTGTTAGTGGGTTCAGGAAGGATTACCTTCGAAACACTGAACCCAGGCTACTACTCTCTGAAGCTTATTTGTCTATTTGGCACCTACATCTGAGTTGCTGAATGTAACTGGAGAAAAATATTCAACTATGCTTGATCAGCCTTATTTGACATTCATGTCCAACGTCAGGTGTCCCATGGTGCCTTCCAGAAAGCTGACAGTTTCCCAACCATTCCTCTCTCCTGATCATTCTCAGTTGATAACCATGCTGCTGCTTTCATTGGAAAAGAGAAATCAGGAAAGAATTGCCACATACTCCAGGACAGCACCTTTTACCTCAGAGTCTACTTGACAGCTCCATGTGTAGAGACATCTCTAAAGCATTGTATCCAGAAGTGAACATAGCACCCCCTTCCTTCCACGTTCTCAGGAGAAAGATCAGGGATTTATCTTTGACTCCTGTTTTTCTCTCCACACCTCAGAGTTGACCCAAGTCCTATCTGCTCTTTCTCTAAACAAAGGAGATTCTGACCAGCCCCCATCACTGCCCATGCCCGGATCCAAGCCAACATCTATCATTCAGGTTATAACTGGTCTCCCTGCCTTTGTCTTTGCACCCTTAGGATTCGTTACAACACAGCAGATTCAGTAATCCTTTCTGTGAGGTCTCTTCTTCCTCAGGATAAAGGGCCTATGTAAACTGATCATTTGCTCCCCTAGCTGCTTGCTCACCACTCTTCTACTACACTCTCTCCAGGACTCCTGCCTCTAGGCCTTTGTGTTTGCTCTTTCCTGTGCTTGGAAAGCCTCCCCCTCACCCCAAATCAAGACATCACTGTGGCTCATTCATCACCAATGCTACCTCATCTAGTGAAGCCTTGACTACTAACCCTGCATAAAATAATATACCCCCCCCCAAGATCTCCCAGCCTCTTTTTCCATACATTTTTGTTCTATGATTTTATCACCATCTAAACATCTTATTTGTTTAATTGGTTATATAGTCTCTCCCATGACACTGGGATGAAAGCACCACAAGAATATTTGGCTAACTGCTATATCTGAAAGGCATAGGAGGTATTGAGGAATTTGTTGAAAAGAATGGATGAATGGTGACCTCTAATGCCCGTGAGCAAATCAGCTTAGAAAATGAGAATCTACCACTTATTGGGTCCAACTGGATACCACTGTCTACACAAGCAAGCTTGATTAATCCATATCAGCCACATGAGAAGCTCAGCAATCCATCCTAATGTCCCACAGCTAGAAAGGGCCATGCTTAGGTTCACATCCAGGGCCTTCTGATTCAAGGCACATGTTCAATGAAAGATTTAACAGCTCACATCAGAAGAGGAGGTATTTGCAGAAATAATTACTGTTTAAAAGAATAACTGACCTTCTCGATATGTTTCCTCTCCAGGTTCATGACTACCTCCGCAGCAAGTTGTGTTCCCTCTATGAAAATGACTGCATTTTTGATAAATTTGAGTGTGTGTGGAATGGGTCAGACAGGTAAGAAAGGCTCTGTGGCTGAGAAACCTTCCAAAAGTTGCCTTGGGGCGGTGTTGGGCAATTTATCCTGAGAATATCCAAAGGGAGGTCAAAATTAGGCCCCAAAGCCTGGCTGAAATGCATTATGTGGGCCCCTCATGACCCTTGAAGTCATGCCTGGAAAGAAAGGAAGGACATAGTAAGACCCTTGAATCCTGCTTCTGAAGTGGCACAGATAACACCTTAATGTTAACAAGAAAGTCCTATCTTTTTCACACAAGACACTTCCAGTGCTAGGTCAACATGCCTAAATGAAGATCACTTATCCACCAGCAAATTCCAGCCTGAATAGTTCAGATTACTGCCAAGTGGGCTTTCCAGATCAAAAAGTATCCCTTGAAGCTGCTAGTGGAGACCTGGCCAATGGCCCTGGTGGTTCATTAACTGAAATCTAGTCAACCTCATTTATCACATTCCCTCAAAGTAATTTATTACTATTTTAAGGCCTTTGATTTGAACAGTACTTCATAATACCTTCCAATAGTTCATTTTTAGTTTGACAAATACAAATGATTCTCTGACTTTCGTGAGAACTAAATGCAAGCAACCAGGGGCTGATTTCATTCCCTGATGAAGGTGGCACCAATAATAGTGTTTCAAAGCCTAGAAATTCTATTGTGGCAAGACATTCAGACATTTGAGCTTTCAGTGAATATGAACTGTCTGTCTGTCTGTCTGTCTGTCTGTCTGTCTGTCTCTCTCTCTCTCTCTTGCTCTCTCTCTCTCTTTCTCTGTTTCTTGGCTTTCTTTGCCACTGATCCAAAATTAAAACCCTCCTTAGCAGGCTTGGAAAGGGTCCCCACATGGCAAAGGACCCAAGTCACACTGACCAGTTGGTATAGGACAGAGAGCAAGGTAACTGTGACATATGAACAAAATACCCCATGGGGAAAAGAAGCCAGCCCTATCATTTTATTCTTTATTTATTTATATAGATATTTATTTATTCATATATTATTATGTGCATATCTGTTGCTATTGCTCAAATTTTTCCTCTATCTTAGCCTTTATTCAAAACTACACTTATTAGGCACCTACTATATGCCAAACACCTTCATACATATCACTTTATTTAATCCCAGCTACAGTCTAACGAGATTGTTTTCATCATTTTCTCATGTTACAGTTAAGGAAATTGAGGCTTAGCAAGATAAAGTAATCTTCCTAACCACATAAAGTAGTAAGTAGAAGAGACAAAAGTAGTAAGAAGTTTTGAGTTTGAATCCTAACATCAACCTTCTTTCTATAACATCACAACTGGGAGATTTTATTTCTCTTTCAGATAAGGTTGGTATTATTTAAAAAAAAAAAAAAAAAAAAAGACTATCTTTTCCTTGTTTAAAAGTAAGTCGGGTCATGGTGGGGAAGCAAATGGCAAAGCATGGGAAGCAGTGAAGCCAACTGGCTGAATACTTATGCCCCAGAGTCAAGCATATGTGGGTTTGAAGGTGGACTTTACCACCTACTAGCAATGTGACACTAAGCAAAGTAAAACCCTTTTATGGGATAATAGACGTTGAAATGAGATCATGGAGGCAAAGCCCTCAGCACCCTGCCTGACAAGGTGATAACAGTCCACCTGAGTACACAGACACAGTTCACAACATCAGTTTGTTGAGCCAGAGTAACAAAATCTAACCTTTGCATAATTTACCTGGTACAGCTGAGGACATGCCCAAAAACACATCCCCTTGTTGTGGCCCAATCTTGTCAGCTTTTTCCTTCACCTCTCTACACATCCCAAATCATTTGAGAAACAGAGTTCGTGCTCTCCCATCTTAAGGAGCCAGTCAGAGCTCCACCCAGAAGTGAGAGAGAGCCAACCCCTCCTAGGGAACCACTGTGTGATGGCATTTGCAGACATCCTCGCCCAAGGAATCTCTCTCCCCACACCTCAGCTTGTCAGTGTCTGAAATGTCACCATTATTCAGTACGTAGCTTCTGGAAGACATCGGGTGTTCACTTCCCTCCTGATTGGTTGCAGCTACACCTATGAGGGGATAACGCTTGTAAAAATGTGGAAACCATTTGTCCATCTACTATAAAGTTTTTTATTTCCTCATCCCAAATGCTTTTAAAATTTGAATTTGCTTACTTGCTTCCCAGGTAAGACCATGATGACATCTATTTTATAGATAAGTTTTCTAAAAAGGCCAAATTCTGCACTAGCAGGGGAGAGGACACACTCTGGGTTCATGCATGGTGCCACCAGCATCTCTTCCGCCACTGCACTGATGCCATAAACCCTTAGAGGTCAGATGGCCCAGGAACCCCCTAATGGTGGCCAAGCCTTAAACACATACAACTGCTTATCGTTTTCAAAAGTGTGTCTACTTCAACAAACCTCATTGTAGTGTCACATTCCTGATGGGAGGTAGGTAGGACTGGGATCATCAAAACCACTGGATACCTTTACCGAGCCAAAGAACCCAAAGGAATCTATGAAACAAAAGTAAATTACAAGGAGAGTTCTCAGCGTCCCTCCTTTTCAAGCCTAGCCAAAAAGCTTACTGCGTTCAGTGATTTAAAAAAAAAAAAAAAAAAAAGGCCAACAATCACACTACAGAGCCTGTTCTAATTTTTCTGGTTTTTGTTTTTAGTAAAGTCTATGGTGTCATCAGCTGGCTATAGCAGGGTATCATTTGCTCCAGAAAGACACAATGAAGATAGGTCATTGCCTTTCTCCATAACACTCGGTCACTCCCTCTCCTCTCTACCTTGCAGTGTCATCATGACGGGCTCCTACAACAACTTCTTCAGGATGTTCGACAGAAACACCAAGCGTGATGTGACCCTTGAGGCTTCAAGGGAAAACAGCAAGCCCCGGGCTATCCTCAAACCCCGAAAAGTGTGCGTTGGGGGCAAGCGGAGAAAAGACGAGATCAGTGTCGACAGCCTGGACTTTAGCAAAAAGATCTTGCATACAGCTTGGCATCCTTCAGAAAATATTATAGCAGTGGCGGCTACAAATAACCTATATATATTCCAGGACAAGGTTAACTAGGTGGACAAGTAATAACTTAATAATCTCACATACTGAATACTAGTCAAACAAGTTTTTAAATGTTTCTTTGGGTCTTCATTTGACGCATTGACTTTAATTTCCCTATGCAGGAAATGATTGGAATAGAATTCAAAGGAGTCCAACTTTCCCAGCTCCCCGGTTCTAAGAAACTTTTGTCAAATCCAATAGGTTTGGGACACTTCTGTTTAGAATTGAAAGCTGCCAGCTAACAGTAATTCTTCCATAGTTGACTTGAACTTCTGATGCTTTTATTGCCCCATTTTCTCTGGTGGGTCCAGTGTTTTGTTTCTAGGTGTCTGCTGCGATAAAATGAGGTTGTCTGTAGTATTTAAGGAGAAAAGAGATAAGTTTTTTTTTAATTAAGCAATTCCATTCGATTGAAAAAAATCAACAAAAAATAAACACCGTTTACTCTTAGCCAAATTCTTCTTGTTTTGTGGAAAAAACAGAACTAGTCAGTATCTCCTGCCACTCCACCATTTTTTTTCCGTTTTCCATTTTCCTTTAAACAATTTCATTTAAGCCAGAGATTTACTGCATGAAGCTGAGAAGAGGATGCAGAATGACAAGGAAAGGGCACATCAACCCTGCTATGCTCTTTTTTTGTAAGCTCCATAGAAACAGCCTGAGAATTTGGCTAGGAAACTTGAATGCTTCAGAGGACAGAAAGAGAGCACTTTCGACACAGTGCTTCCCAGAGTGAGCTTGGCAGGGCCAGGCGGGGCCAAATTCCATCTGCTGCCTTGTTACTCTTGCTTTTTGTGCTCTTAAATGGCTCCATATAATCCTCTACCTACATGTTCCTTGGCTTTTTTCTCCTCAACCTTTTCCAGCTTATTTATTCCATTGACTTCTAAAGGCCGAGTCCTGGTTGCTTATTATCTGGTGTTCTAAATGAAGCAGTGGCACCACCCCTGAGTCCCTGAGAAAGGCTGGTCTGTTCTTTTTGGGTGTTTCTCCTAAGCAGCTCCCTCCCCTCCTCCTGGTTTTGGTAACCAAAAGTAACAATCCATCAACCTCCATTGTACCTAGAACAAAATTGGCCAATAAAAATGCTGATTTGTAAAGTCCAGTCAGGCACTTCTACCTCACCCCAAGCTCGCCATCTGGGAAAACAGACCAGAATGCTCTCTCCTACAGAAACGAACTGTGGGGAAATCCAGCAGCTGTGACGTCAGAGTGAATGAAGTCCACTTGAAGCAGTGGAAGATGGTTCATCCTTTTCCCCAGTTGAGGATCGAGATTTATAATTTCTAGAAAGCCATTTCCAGAAGGTTCGGTGTGGCACACCTCTGGGAAAGGCACTAAATACATGCAAAGGATTTACAAACTTAGGGAGGGTAGATGGGTGAAGTCCAGAAATCTGGGTCTGGGTTAATATCTCTGTATCTGTCTTGATGACTCGTTTCTCCTAATTTCCATTTAGTGCAGGGTGAATGGTTTGAGATGAGAGTTTTTCATTGAAAGAGAAATTCTTTCAGTTCATAGATTTGTTAGAAGTCCTGACTTTCCAGTGTAATTTGCTTTGGAGGAGAAAGAAAATAGTGATAGAATCATATCGTCTCAATTCTAAGCTACTATCCATTTACTAATAGCTTTTTGGCAAGGAAATAACTGTCACCTTAGGTAAAAACAGTTTTGTAAGATGCAGCACAATTTCAGGAACATTAAAATGTGAAAAAGTACATCTCAGAACTGAGGGAGCATGAGAACAAAAACGAGACTTTCTCAGTGTTTCTCATTTTTCCTGCAAGGAAAGCCTCTGCTTAGGCATCTCAAATAAAATGGCTAAGGTGGAAACTCCCTGGGCAAGATTCCTGGCCTGACTAGGAGTGTTCTTGGAGGAGACATGAAAGAGTCAGAAACTTCTGCCACTCATAGAGAATTATGATATTGCAGGAGGCCACTGGGTTATTGGCCCACGTTTACCACCAACTTCCTTTATGGCCTTCTCTCCACTTCTCTGGACTCAGTTCCTCCATCTGTAGTAGGCGGGGGGTTGGGACCAATCATTGTATCCCAAACTTAAGAATCAACCCACATTTATACTATTACCCGTGTAATATTTTTTTAAGTCACCTTTTCTTAAAAGCAAGAATTAGCCTCCTCCAAAGAAATAATATGTATGAAATTTCAACTCTTGATATACTAGGTTTTTTCCCTAACATTAATCACATAATTATCAATATAACAAACATGCACCCAAATACCACTTGAAATCATTTTGTGAACCACCAGGAGCATGTGTATCAAACTTTGGGACCCTGGGTAACTGATATGACAGAACGTTTACACTTTTGGGGGCATCAAAGAGTCTTGATGGTTCTTCGCATATTAGAGTCAGCAGAGTTACCCAGAACACACGCACAAATAATTTTGGTCATGGTTTAAGGAGTTTATAGGCCCCTTTGCAGTTCATCTGTGAACTCCAAATAAAAGCCCCTACACTAGGTGTGCAAACTGAGATCCAGAGTAGGATGAGTTTGCCAGAGAAGAAAGCAGAGAACAGCCATCCTCTCCTCCATCCCCTGCAAAGCATGCATTAGAGCAAACAGCCACAACTCCTGGACAGGGACAGGAGGGGAAAGCCCTAAAGATTAGGCCTCAGGGAAAAACCACCACCATGTTTCACAAATTACCTGTTCTTTCCCAGGCGCTGAACTAGGTATTTTCTATGTGTGATCTTTCAGCCCCAGTACTAGCAATATTTCTTAGATAGTGGCACACAGCAGTCAGTCTGTTTTCCAGCTGACACTAAAAACTACTTGAAGGCTGATTTGCTACCTTGCAACAATTGGTTCGATTCTAAGGGTCCTGTACTACTTTACACTGCAAGGCCTGCTGCTTGGTAAGAGCCATCAGATTACAACTGGAGCGTATCAGTTGCATGAAGGAAAATGGAAGCCACGCCATCTTTGGCTTTTAATAAAGCCTGTTGCAACATTCAGTTCCTGACATTAAAAACAAGTCATGCAAAAAGCTAAACTTTTGTAGACACTCATGCTTTTCTGTCAGGAGGAGGAAGATTAGTTAGAAAAAAAAAACAAAAAAAGGAAGACACTAGCCAGCATCAAGTAGTGGGATATGCATAGGCAGATGCGCAGTGGGAATCAAGTTGCTTCTTAACTCCTTAAAGTGTGGTTCCTGCCTTTACTCTTCTATTGAAAAAAAAAAAGCACCTTTAAACCTCTAATTGATCTTGCAATTAATTCAACCAAATCAGCATGTATTAGACAACATGGAACAATTGTAACGCAGAACAGAGATGAAGCTAAACTTCTGCTAGCTCAGTGGCCCAATAAAATAAGTCTGCTATCTTCATTAAACTTCCTCTGAACATTCTAGGGTCCATTATAAGAAAAGTTACACCCTCAAATGCCCAATATCTAGGGACTTGGGAAGCCACGATTTCTCTTCCTTCAAGCCTACAGAGCAACTGCCTAAAGCTTCACTGCCCCACCAGCCTAGACCTCATTTCTTTTTCAGTCCTTTTGCTAGCTGCCTGCAGGGCTCAAGAAAGCCCTGGTAAGCCTCATAATGAGGATTTAGGGATGACACTATAGTCCACAGCCTGAATGGTGGAACCCTTACTAATTTTCCCTCTTCCATGATGAATGTGTGGATGAGGCTAGTGTGTTTTCAATAATGCCACTGGCCTTCCAAAACAAATCCCCTAACACAGTCTTTAGACATATCACCCTGAATGCACCTCATCTCATCTGATCTTTGAAGTGAAACAGGGTCGGGCCTGGTTAGTCTTTGGATGGGGAAAATCTAGACACACCACTGGGAAACATTCACACAGCAACCTGATTCACTGTGTGTCCATCATGCCTTCATTCACCTCCTCCCCTGTACTTCTAAGTCAGCTCTCAAGGACTGCTTTCCGTAGGAGCAGCCATCCTGTCAGTGGAAAGAGGATGGGACTAGAGATAGGAAACGTGGGTCCTGTTAACCAAGGAAACCTGCTCCTTGTAACCAAGGAATTTGGGCTACCTGCTCAGTCCCTATGTCAGCAGCATCACCTGTAAAATGGCCAGAAAAACATCTATCCTAGCTCAGAGAATTATTAAGAGGACAAGAAATCCATTTACTTATCTACTTGGTAAATTTAAAGCACCATAAAATAATAATAGCAACAACACTGATGGGTAATAACTATTACTTTCCATGCCTCATCCCATTATCCTCTCCCCCAAACCCCATGATGGCATTAGTATTTCCATTTTGCAAATGAGAAAATAGACTCAAGTTGTCAACCTAGCCAAGGACAAAAGCCAGAGGGAGACAGAACCAGGACTCCAACTCAAGGTATCAGACTCTAAAGCCAGAGCTGTTAAAATATGGCTTTAATATACAATAGTTGCCAACATTTATTGAGCACTTATTATGAGCCAGGCTTTGTTCTACAAATTTCACATGTATTGACTTATTTACCCCTAAAACTCCAGATGCAGATACTACCGTTCTCATTTTATAGATTCAGAAACAAAGACAAATGACAAACGAATTTACACACTTCACAAGTGGCAAAGCCAGGCAGTTTTAGTCAAAGTTCTTATCCACTTTCCCCATCGTAATTAGGTATATGTATGTGTGTGCTTGTGTGTGTGTGTGTGTGTGTGTGCATGTAGATGGAAGTTACTGATTAGAAAACAAATCCCAGTAATGACGCATAAGCTCAATGAATGAAAGATTCATTGGTTGCCTGGGATGTGTCAGGAAGCCAGGCTCTGGCAAGGGGCTGGAGAAACTGAGATGTTTAGGCCACTGGTCCCTGCCTCCAAGAGATGACACTCACATAGGAGAAAGTGCATATTGTAAACATATTTACAATGAGGTATGTACAAAGGGCAGAAATCATACAGAGGCAGAAACGGTTAATCAATGACCTATGAGAAAAGGCTCTCAGAATAAGTGTCATCTAAGCAGAATTTTAACTCAGTTTGCTCAACAAAGCATGATACAACATTTCCAATAGGTAGATCAACATATACCAGAAAATGAAGCAAAATCCATATGGCATGGGAACAGAAAGCCAATGTTTCTCTCCTTCCATTAGAAACACATTTTCGACATACTAGAACTAGCCTGCCCCTTTTTCCTTTTGTTCATCCAATAACGAATATTTATTAAACCTTATTTTTAAGCACTTTTCTTAAATATAAAATAGGTGGAAAGACTAAAAGGAAACCAGTATTTCCTGGGCAATTATTGTAATGACAGGCATTGGGAGAGGCACTGTTTTAAATCACTGTAATCACCTGGTAGGTAGATGTCTCATTTTTATAGGGAGAAACAGACTCAAAAGGGTTAAACGACATCATCAGAAGTTTTATTAGCTCTCTCCTGTTCCAGATCCTGTACTTCTTCCATCACAGTGATTAGTAATGCAGAGATACCTTGGCTTGATTATT